TGAGTCCTCCTCTGAGAAGCGGAGAGAGATGTTTAATAGAATAGCTTTAAAAATGACCTTCATCTTTGAAGAATGTTCCGGTTGCGCACAGGCTTTCAAGACTGCAGGTACTAAAGGAGACCAAAACATCATGTTTTACCTAATTTGTAAGTATTAGTAAGTATTGGATGTTGTGTTGTTCTCTTAATTGAAACAGACTCTGCCAGTTCCCCTTATTAAAATCATGTTAGACATGTATTTCTTGACAGTAAATTCAGTAGTAGACTTGACTCCATTGATGTATTAGTTCTGACAAACTTGGATGTCAAGTGAATTTCAGTAAATAAAACTCCACTGTTTCCTGTTAAAAAGTCACAGATTCATTTCCACAGGTAACTGAATAGAATCTACAGCATAAGATAAATTACACACAGAAAAACGTTTAAAATTGTATATGAAAGGGGGACGTTTACATTAGTAAATGTCATAGTTAATGTTATTAATATTAACATTTTATGTTAATTTTATACTTATGTATTATGTAAATTAATTCTAAACATTAACTAGTATCACAAAATATAAAGCCCCAATCATTAGTCAAAATGGAAAATATACCAAAATTAGCCTTTAAGAGATTTACTCCTTTCATTCCTTGATTTATGGTCATTTATTATGGGATGCTGCCTCATTCTATCTCTGTCCCTTTAAGTCTTTAACTTTAATTTCTGAAAGTGGAATACTTTGCACATATTTTGGTGACCCCATGAAGGTTTCTGGCATTCAGTATGATCAGCATTAATTTACTGACTTTTGAATTGTCCCTCAAAAGACGATTCCATGCTTCTGGAATGTCGTATTTTTTTTTCATGTCTCAAGTCAGTCACTGTGGAAAATACTGTCCTTAGGATGCCATAGATGTCAGGCTTAGGATGTCAGGCTGACCTTTCAGGCACTGTTAGCAATTGCTCTTTAGCTCTTGGGTCCACAGGTAAACAACTGATTGCAGAGCCAGAATGCTGAGGGGCAGAGGGGGTTGTCTTTGAAGGTTAAGGATTTCTACATGTTTTGTTTAGATTTCCAAAAGTGTGTGTGTGAATGACCCATAGTTACAGATTGCATCAGACTCTAATTAAATTTGGAAATAATCAAATTGGAGTATTTTAAGTAAAAGAAAAAGGTATAGGGTGCCAAACTGTATACACTATGTAATAATCTGAATAAGGAAGGAAAAAATATATAGTTGTGTCTATTTAAAAAAAATCTTGGGAAAAAAACTATTCAGTGTTTCCAGGGCACAAAGGATCTGGCAGATGGAAGACAAGGTTGGGGTAGGACGTGGAATGTATTCATTGTCTTCATTTAAATGCATTTGCTGTATTTATACAGCAGTTTTTAACAGCTTTATATATATGACTGACAATCAACTACATATTCATAGTATGTGCCATTTTTATACTTTTTATTTTAGGGACCTTGTGACTATATCACGTACTAAAAATAGAAATTCAACATTGGCTAAAAAAAAAAAAAAAAAACAGATGAAAGCTGACTTGCCCTGAGTTTTGTCACCTGCTTTTATATTTTTGAGGTTCAGTCAGAGTTTTCATTCCTTTGACTTGTAGAAATTTTAGAGGTTTTAATTTCGTGGTTTTGCCAACAGTATAGCATAGTCTCTTGTCATCTTTTAAATCCTAGCTGATACAGAAGATTTGGGAAAAAAACCTGTCATACACCTGCCCCCCTTTCTCACGGTTTTGACATTCTTCAGGGAATGTAGAGTAATTTCTAAATCAGGATTGTCCCTCAGGGCGAGAACTTAACCAGATTTCTCTAGCAGTAAGTGGAGGAGGTTTAGGACTATTGTCTCCCCATCCTCCATGCCCTGGGCAGGGCTCTCTCTGACATAATCTGTTTAGGCTACAGAAAATCATACCTGGGGCCTAGAGAGGAACTGAGGAGGGCTCCAGCTGGCCCCACCACCGTGGGAAAGGGTGTCACTTTATCCTCATTTCACCTTCCCACCTTTGCTTCAGTTACCTCCTCATGTTAGGGTCACTTTGACCAGACCTTTTTCGGCCCAGGAAAGCCTTTTTGTATCTGAAACTACTAACTCTAGCCCTCTGGGTAGGAACGACCATTTTCTGTATGGTAGGTTGTTGCCTATCTTAGGCTTCGTTGATTTGGGTTTAGAAGATTTGGTTGAAGGGAAGCAAAGAGAACTTTCCAGTTCACTGTTTGCATGTTTTCTGTCTTCTCCCTCTCTTTGTCCTTTGATCTGCTAACCTAGATAACTGTTTTGTCTCATCCGGATTTTATCACGGAGAGGAGCCAGCAGACTCAGACTCAGTGCCATTATTGGGGTCACCTTGCTCTTGGTCTCAGATTTCCACTTTCTGTGCCAGCCGGGCAGCCTCCCCAACAAGTCATGTCATTCTCTCTCAGTCCACTTTCATTCTGAGAATAGGGACTTAGAAACACAAGGTAACCCAGTAGGAGGAGCTCTGGTTTGGAACTCAGACAATCTGAGCGCAAGACCTGCATTGCTGTGAACTGTGTCACTGAGATGTCAGGTCCGATTCAATGCTACATCCTTGCGAGGCGCTTTGCAAAGCCATGTGTGTTGACTGAGTCAGACAGAGTTCCTGCTTTCATCTGTGGAAAATAGAAATGACTTTGTATCTCCTTGGCCATAAGCTGTACAGAAAATACATTTACAGGCTATATCAGTTTCTTGAAAGATGAAGTAGACAAAAAATGGTTAATATTCATCTGGTTTGTACAGTGTGGGGGTGGATGAGATGATTTCTCAGGTGCCTTTTCTCACAGGTGACTCTGAGAAAAGGCACAGCTAAGTTTGAAGCTGGACTCTAGAAGATGGAGTTGCTTCTGTCTCTGTGTCTTCTAATGAGCGATGTCTTAGATTCCAGGGGCAAACAGCTCTGTTCAACATTGGCCATTCAGGTCATTTTCTCTCCTTTCTCTTTATGATATGTAGTTGCTTTTTTTTTTAAAAAAAATATTTATTTAGGCCCTCCCTGGTGGCGCAGCGGGTTAAAGCACTGCACTAAGGAGCTAAAGCCACTTCCGCATGAGTTCGATCCCCGCCTGCCCCGGAGGAGATCCACATGGCGTGGCAGACCTCTCCTGACCCGCCCGCTGCTCCCCTCAGCAGTGTACTTCGTCGATCTGCCTGTTCTGTTCCTCGCTCTGTCCCTGGTGAATCCTCTCAACCTCCACATCTCTGGCCTGTACCCCAATTCTGTATGAATAAATAAATGAATCTTTAAAAAAATATATTTATTTATGCATACATGACTAGGGTACATAGCCACAGCTGCAGGGACAAGTGAGAGGATTCACTAGAGACAGAACGGGGACCAGAACAGGCAGACTGACAAAGTACAGTGCTGAGAGGAGCAGCAGGCAGGTGAGGAGAAGTGCCATGCGGATCACCTCCGGGGCCAGGGATCAAACTCGCACTGAAGCAGCTTGCTTGCAGTGCTGCTTCTAACCCACTGCACCACCAGGGAGGGCCCTGTAGTTGCTTTTTTTGCTTACTCGCTTTAGATAATTCATTTCACCCTCAGAATAAACTTTTTGAGAAGACTGGACCAATATTTTATCTACATTTTCTAGAAGAGGAAACTGGTTCAGAGAGGTTAGATGCTTTGTCCGGAGGTACTTAACAAGTCAGTTTTGAGGCCACTTCTCTATATCTATTTTCCTTTCAGTTTCCAGTTCTTTTATGCACACACATACATATATATAGAATTAGGAAGTAAGATGCCATGATGCTAGAGGATTTTACCATCCTGACCTGCTATCACTTCCAACATGTTTTCAGTATCTTAAATCATTTATGAAGCAAGGAGGGTCTTCCTTACTATAGTAGTTCAAATTGAGTATCTTATGTGCAAAACAATATGAGGCTAAGAAATATAAAGCTTCTGCTTTCAAGTAGTTTACCTCTAGAGGTTGAATGCCAGTAGTAAGTATCTGGTTTTATGTTACAGATTTCATGTGAACAGAAATGGAGCAGGGCAGAAAAGAATCTGAGGAAGTTGAAGGTCAAGTTGAGGTCCAAGCTATGAGCACAAAACTCCGAGCTAGTACTCATTGTCAAACAAGTTGACTTGAGGAGCTTGGCAAAAATAAGTGTAGGTGGTTGTCCTAGAACCCCGTTAGGGTGTGAGGTTTTCAAAGGCTCGGACTCACTGATACTCTTAAGAAGGGCACAAGTAAGTGACAGGTAAGCCTGTGAAGGTGAAGCAGCTGAGGTGAGGGTGGGGCAGAGTTGTGAGACCATGTTGGTTGTGCCTGGGTCATAGTCCCAACCTGGTCATATGCCTCTAGCCGTTGGTATGACAAGTGTATCAGCCACATTTGTACTTCCTCTTCCTTAACTGGCAGCTGATATTTAGAGCCTCCTATTTTCCTGCCTGTTCCCTACTTCATGAGAGCAATTTAAAGGGGTTGCTGGTGTGTGTGTGTGTGCATGTGTGAAGAATGAGTATCCTCTAACATGTGTGCACACCCCCCCCCTCCTCGCCCCCTACTGTCTCAGTAATGCTTACTCCATCAGAAACAGTTTTGTTTTGTTTTGTTTTGTCCTGAAGATATGGCATTGCTCACCTGGTCCTAGACTGTTGTTTACTGTGTCATTTTCAAGAAATAAGCATGTGGAATGGAGGAAACCCCTTGGAATAATAGTCATTCCAGCAGCTCTTTATACATAGCGCGCTTAATGTTGCACTGTAATGTATTTAACAGTGGGCCCTGGTTTATCAGCACTCATTTATGTGTCTTTTGTTGTTGTCTTTTTTGAGTTTTCAGATTTTGAGGTACAACTGATGAATCATTAGTCACATCTGTTTATCCCTTTTGTTTGTTTGTCCAAGTGAAACTGTGCATTCAGGGTGGGATCAGGTAAATGGAGTAAGGATGCTGTATCTTATACTGTCTAAGCTGATGGCTCTTTCTTTTTTTGACCCGTGTTTTCTTCCCTCCCTCTCTCCATGTAGGCTTTTCAGTTCAGTGTGAAACTGTTGGCGCGAGGGAGCAAAGGTGGAGTGATGTAATGCTCTGGCTGCCCCACAGCATCTTTTGTCGCGGGATGGTTTTTCCAGTCATCTCTATGAATCAAATGTGAGGGGCTGCTTTGTGGAAGGAGTCCTTTGCAAGAGCACATCCACGGGAAAGAGAAAGAGACATTCACTTGGAGGGCTCTTGCTGAAATGGGTTTAACTCTCCTTTTGCCAGTCACCACCAGCCTGACCTCATCCGTTTTTAGTACAATGGAGCGGCTGAACCTTTGAGCTCAAACCTCCCCCCCCTCCCCCCCACGCCCCCGTTACATCATCGTGGCAAATTAGAGGAGGAGGTGGGAAAGAGGACTGACTGTTGTCATGGCCCATGAGATGATTGGAACTCAAATTGTTACTGAGAGGTTGGTGGCTCTGCTGGAAAGTGGAACGGAAAAAGTGCTGCTGATTGATAGCCGGCCATTTGTGGAATACAATACTTCGCACATTCTGGAAGCCATTAATATCAACTGTTCGAAGCTGATGAAGCGAAGGCTGCAACAGGACAAAGTGCTAATTACAGAACTCATCCAGCATTCGGCCAAACACAAGGTAAAGGCTTTGTTTTTCCTTTTTAAAGAAAATGGGCACATTGTCTGGGGAATCATTTTGGTTGAAGCCTCATTTTTATGGGGAGATAAAATTTGAGGAAATTTTGGCTGCATTTTAATTTTGATATTTAATTAGCATACCTGAAAATAATTTACCAACTGTGTGGTCACATTTAAGGATTTTCCTAAGTGTTACAAAAAGATTAACTTATTTTAATTTGGTCAAGTTATATGTTTACCTCTTAATGGCCTAAGGTTATTTTATTAATTTCAGCAATAAAAATTGTTAGCATAACAAATATGTTTTGCCATCAATGATTACTAATTATGTATTGACATAACAGGTTACTAACAATCAGTACATTAATATATTATTTTGGATCCTGCACATATTTCCTGAAAAGAAATCTTTTTCTTCCTTTTTAAGAGCCTGGGAAAGAATGTAATTATGTTAGAAGGGCTTTCCTTTTTTATTTGTGGGAAGGTAACATTGGTCAAGACTTAAGAATATTGTCTATAAGGAAAATTATTCCTGGCAGATGAGAGTAGCATCTTTGTGGTCGTTAAGGCTATTTCTTTTCTTTGGAAATAAAAATGAGTTGATGTTTGAATTTTACTAAATGACTGACTTCTTTGTTGTTATATAGAAACCATTTTTTACATGTTTTTTTAGTTCAAGAAAGGTGATGTTTATTTTGCTTGTTCTTTTGTGAGCCTGGCCCTTTCACAGTGTTAAGGATTTAAAACCAATGGTACCAGTTCGGCCTTGAAAAAGTGGATTTTAAGTGCCTTTAAACCTTTGTGGCATATTTGGTTTTCTGGTAAGGTGACTGTCTCTCATTGTTACTAGATTTTTAACTGAAACCCAGAAATGGTTACAGCATCGTCAGCCCCAGCATTTAGGGGGTGTCGTTGGTGCCGTCCCACCTCACAGCCTCCCATTTGCCCTTCAGGTGGACATTGACTGCAGTCAGAAGGTTGTCGTATATGACCAGAGCTCCCAAGATGTGGCCTCTCTGTCTTCAGACTGTTTTCTCACTGTACTTCTGGGTAAACTGGAGAAGAGCTTCAGCTCCGTTCACCTGCTTGCAGGTAAGGGCTGGGAGGGGACTGAGCACTGGGAATGGTGTGGAGCCGGATGTAAGCAGTTTCTCACCTGTGGACTCAAAGTACAACAGGTCATCACAACAGTGAACTTAAGGCCTGGCATGATTTCTTTACAACTTTCGATGACTTCATTCTTCCATATCCCCTGAATGCAGTCATTCTTCCACATCGCTTGGTGTAATTTTGACTTAGTCCAAATGCCTCTTCACTAGATACTAATTAGCCCAAAGTGCTAATTAACCCATGAGGCCATGTAGATAGGGTAAAGCCTATCTACAGTGGCTTCTGTTGGGTATTTTTCCATTTCCTGGTGATCAAAGAGCCCCAAATATGTACAGCTACGTTCCTGTTAATACACCTAGTTCCATCCCACCACCCTGAGGAAAGTATTAAAATACAGCCTTAGCCATTCATCCTTAAAGTAGACCCAAACCATAAGCCCACCATGCTTGCACCTTATGAACAGTGAGCCTGGGAGAGCATATTCGCAGGTCATTTCTTCTCATAATGAGCATGACTATTTTAGAACGGACTCGATGGTGTATTTTGGTTTGTTTGATTTTTTTTTCCAGCTAAAAAAGAGTCTAAACTTGCAAATGCTAGGCAACCAGATGATTTAATAAAGTATATTTTACATCTGCCCCGAAGGAGGGTGGCGTGGGAGTTCCCACTCATCAAATTCCAAACCAGGGTGTTCATCCTTTCTTGGCTTGTTTGCAAGCCTTCCTAAAGCCCTTCCAGCCACACTGGCTCACAGTGCGGGGCAGACAGTTGACAACACACAGCCCCTCTGGGACCTCAGCAGATTCTCCCTTTCACTGGGAGATCTCAGGAAAGCAAAAGTCTGGATCACTGTCTTTTTCCACACTGTAAGTGCTTTGTTGCCAGGAGAAGACAGTGGATGTGAACATGTTTTTTTTAATCAACTATTGATTGGTAGAAAGAATAACATTTTTATGTCAGGAGAATAGGATGAATCAGGTGGCAACTTAACTAACACTTTTCACCTCTGCAGGTGTGAGATTTCCAGGTCTCCAGTTCTGTCTCATTGGCTTTTGCTTCAGTTCTGAAGAAACAAGGGGTAGCTTCCTGTCTCTTCCTTCCCTCTGTCGCCACACCATTAGGGGTGCAGCTTCCATATTTCTCAGATAGTATCCTTCAGTGAAGCCAGCTTTTCTTTGGAGACACTTTTCAGAATTCTGTTCTGAGAATTGTGCTGCTAACCTCTGTCTCTTCTTAGAGGTAAATGTTGTATTGGGAGGTTCACTGTGTTGCAGGGGACAGCTGTGTCACAGGGGACAGCTGTTTCATTCATGTTCTGCTCAACTCAGGTGAGTTCAGGAACTCAGTTCATGCTTCTTGAAGCCTCCCTGAGGGACTTTACCTTGGAATCCTGATCCTGGGATTTGTCTTAGATATTTGTCACAGTGAGTGTTGATCTCCCTTGTCCTGATTTGAGGCGTTTTTCCTTATGGGGTACTCTGACTTGACAGTGTGGCCAAGCAGATCCACCACAGAGGGATGAGCGTATGTTGAGGTAGCAGCCACAGGTGTTTCGTTTATTGAGCGCTTTCACTCCTCTTTTCCAAAGCACATGCCTTTGTCACATGGGACAGTTCTTATTAGTCATGTGTGGCTTGGAGGCACCTTCACGGGGCAATGAGGAACTATGGGCTCAGTCCGATGAGCTCGATCAGCCCAGGAACACATGACTTGCCCCTGACTTCAGATAGGAGACGTTGTCTCAGCCTAAACAGTCCCTTGACTCAGTCCCTTGAGGCCAGACACAAATACATGAAATATATTGCTAGCATACATCACCCTCCACAGCCTAGAATCCTGCAATTTTTTAGTTTAGGTAGTAGCCTCAGTGCCTGAATTTCCTTGTTTGGGAGTTTCTGAGCAGACAGTCACTTAGGACAAGTAAAAGAAGGTTCTGGATGATTAAAAGTCCCCTTCCTCTCAACCATCCAAAGATGTCTGACCCATTAAATATTCCCTTGGCTTGAGAGTTGTTCATCAGGGTAGGCAGAAAAGTAGTACAAGTGGAAGGAAATGCTGGAGGCGGAGTCTGGCCTCAGTGCTTGGCAGCCCTTTTTTTTTTTTTGCCTAGGACCAGCTGCTTGGAGGGCATCGGGGGATCTGGGAGAGGAGGATATATCGACACATGTTTCCAAAAAAATTGTCCTTGAGAGTGAAGGGGGAGAGAATTGCAGAAATGCATGCTTGCTTTGCATAGGTGCTACAGGAAATGGCGAGGTTATGCCTGTCGCCCTCAGTAGTTACGGATGCCTGTCAGTCTCACGTGAACATTTTAACAAAGACCAGGTGGTTTTTCCAAGTAATTTCTATGTCAAGTTTTCAGCTGAGATTATTCAGGAAGAAAGTACCAGCAATGGGAGATGGTTTTTATGGTCATTAGGCGTGGAAGTAAAGACCTGTGACGCAAAATCATTCATATTCTCCGACAGAGAAAGGACCCTGAGGTAGGAGGACAAGCATGAGGGAGCTAATCTTGTCAGTTACCACTTTACCAAGCGACAGGGTTCTTTTCAGTCACACTGACAGCTGACACATGTGAGATCCGATTCTCAAGTCTTCTAATCCTGAAACGTAGGACCTGTTCTTCAGTGGACTCTGCCTATATTGATGGCATCTGTGGGTCTACTTGGATTCTCTTTTTCAAGCTAAGCACCCTGTCATGTTCATTTTATGTTCCCCATAAGCTTTCAGAAACTGTTGATATATAAATTAGGTTTTCACTACTTCTGTATCATTTCTTTTACTACTTCAGAGTGTAAGTGATAGTAATTAATGCAATGAAACTAAATGTAACAAAAATTGAAATTGTTTTGAAGTAAATGATTTATTTGTTAAGTGTATTTTGTTTAGCGAGAACAAACATACCTGCTATGGAAAAAGAATCCAATATGAAAATGTTTCCATCCATTTAAGTAGATAAATATGATTTTAAGATCTAATAAATATACGTCTACATCTAAACAATGCCTTAAGTGTGAGCCTTAAGTTCTGAGCTTTATTAGAGTTAACAGGTCAAGGGACCTAGTGCCACTTGGGAAGATACAATCCTTGAATCCTTGTGACTGAGAATGGGTGAAATAACTTATGTAAAGATTTATGTCAACATAAGGGCCCTCCCTGGTGGTGTGACAGGTTAAAGATCGGCTCTGTGAAGCTGTCCACAGCTACCTGCCAGGGAGCTGACCCACATGGTGCAGCAGACCTCTCCTCACCCACCCACTGCTCCCCTCAGCAGTGTATTTCAGCAGATCCATTTGTTTTGCTCTTCACTCTGTCTCTGGTAAATCCTCTCACTCCCCATACCCCTAGCCTGTACCCCCATCCTTGTATGCATAGATAAATAAATCTTAAAAAAAAAAAAAGATACGTTAATGTAAGCTGATTTTTCTACTAACTGGTAGTCAGACTCCAAGTTGAGACAAATCACAGCATTGTTTCACTCCCAAAGATTAAAGATTAACTTAATTATCAAGGGCAGCTTCATCTTCACAAAGTAAAATAAATCTGGATCTCTTGAAGAAATTCTCCATTACCATTAATGGTTAGGTAATGGCAAAACCGTTTTTGCCTTTTTAAAGATATTTTTTCAAGTCAGTTACTGAATAAACACAGTTGAAAGGCATGCAGCTTCCCACAGTCATCTTTAAAAACAAAATTTAAGAATTCAGATTAATGGGGTGACAGGATAAGTGTGTCCTAAACATTTATTTTATAAAGTGATTTTATAACCAGGGGTCCCATGTTGAGGATTGTACAAGATAATACATCCCTATGAAGCCTTTTAAAAATTATTATGAGCTGGCCCTCCCTGGTGGCGCAGCAAGTTAAAGCACTGCACTGAGAAACTAAAGCCACTTCCGCATGAGTTCGATCCCCGCCTGCCCCGGAGGTGACCACATGGCGTGGCAGACCTCTCCTGACCCGCCCGCTGCTCCCCTCAGCAGTGTACTTCGTTGATCTGCCTGTTCTGCTCCCCACTCTGCCTCTGGTGAAGCCTCTCACTGCCCCTGAGCCTCTGGCCTGTACCCCAGTTCTGTATATACAAATAAATAAATCTTTAAAAAAAAATTATTATGAGCTAAAAAACAAGTCAAATGCTTAGCAACACTGACTTACTGATCAACTTTTTCCCCCTGAACTTTAAGAAAACAAGTTTTCTTTAAAAAATAATCATGTTTCTTTTATTCACTCTGTCATTTTATTCTACTTACCTTTTTTTCTATTACATTGCTAAGAGTACCAGTTTTGAAAATAATAAACAAGCTTTTATTTTGTGCTAACCAAAAAAAAAAAAAAGAAAAAATGGTTTACTTTAGTAGAAATAAAGATCAGCCTACAGATGAAAAATACAGTTCATTATATCCTTCTTTTTCTTCACTCATGAGTAAAAGCAAAAGGGACCCATGACCGCTCATTCACTCTGCAGCTCTCATTTCTATCCTATGTTGAGCCACAGGATAACGATATAGCAAAAAGCCATAAGTGAATCTCACACTTCACCCTTTCATAACTGGGTCCTGAGTGACTCTCCCAGGTTCTCACTGTGCACCTCAAGTCTGTATCCCTAATAATTTCAGAGCCTTCTGGGATTCCATCAGGATTCTGGGCTGGGATCAAGGGTGCCTGTTTCAGATCAGGCTGATCCTGAAAGGTGCTTTTTGTGGTAGCTCTTTCTTAGCCTTTAGATATCAGAGTCATATTCTCATTTTACATGTTTTGGAATGAAGCAATATATAAACGTATACAGTATATAAAAATATTAAAGCATTAAATTATGGTAGCTAGGGAGATCACCAAATGAAAGTGTAAACTGCTCTGTGCTGAAATGTAGCCCTGAATAATGAGAGAAGATACCATTTATTAAGTGCTTACTAATAGGTGCAGTATTGGGTGAAGGCCTATGAACTTCTGTAAACATTTAGTCTTAGATTATTGTTTGCCAT